ATTCTAAGCAGTATCTTTATATCATAGGATAACAAACCATGATGCACTGTACTTTTAAACTCCTTCCTTAGGGTGCATGCATGTGTGCATGTGTGTTTGTGTGTGTGTGTGTGTCTTACATATACAACACATACCATGCTAAACCAATTAGCATATTATATAGGAGGTATTGTTAAGTCTGGGAATGGAAGTGATGGGGGATTAAGAAGTATTTTATAGCCTAAAGAGCTGAGTAAATTTATAGGATAGGCTGAGAAGACCTTAAAGAACAAAAAAAAGTAATGAAGGTCTGATGAATGCTTTGCATGGGAAATGAAGAGTTTGGGAGTGGACATAAAGTTGATCATGTATTCTGTTCATAGACACCAATTTGAAGAACTGGTTGAAACCAAAACAGCATTTCATAGAACTGCAGGTAATATGCTTGGAAATTACAATTGGGATCAACTTCTATATAGCTTTCAATAGCAAATCAAGAGATTTAGTCTAATTTCTCATTTTATTCCCAAACTTTGCAATTTAAAACGCATTCTGAAAATTGTGAAGTACTTTGTAAACAGTAGTGCAATTGATTTGGCAATGCTACCTTGAATTGTTAGAGGCTGGCAGACAATCATTAAAATAATCCAGCTTTATTAATTCATCAGGCAGAAGAGAACATTATAATTGTGATTCTATCAGGGATAACAAGATTTCATAGATGACTCCTAATTGCTATGACAGAATTAAGGATAGAATAGGTTGGATGCTTCAGGATCCTCGTGGATCTTATGCCTCATCTCTGCAGATGTTAATAACTTATTTCATAGAAATAAGAGTAAATATATGTCTTGAGCTCTGTAATGTTTTGAACAACCAATAAAAAAAAATAAATAAAAAATAAAATAAAAATAAAAAAAAATAAATAAAAAAAAATAAAATAAAATAAATGTTTGTACTTTTAACTTCATTTTTTTTAACTTAATAATCCAAATAAGTACTACTTTGTCTTTTTTTTAGGGGGGTTGGTACTGGAGATTGAACTTGGGGCACTCAACCACCGAGCAGCATCCCCAGTCCTATTTTGTATTTTATTTAGGACAGGGTCTCACCGAGCTGCTGAGCACCTAACTTTTGCTGAGGCTGGCTTTGAACTCATGATCCTCCTGCCTCAGCCTGTGGAGCCACTGGGATTACAGGCATATGCCACCATGCCCAGCTATATCATTTTTAATTCATCATAATGATTGTCTTCAATAATGATTCACCTTTTAATGTTGTATTTCTTTTTTTATTTGAGTATTTTCTGTATGAATATTTTTAGAGTCTAGGGATAAGGAACTTTCTGAGCCTGTTCATGTCTACATGTTCATTTCCCTTGAAAGAATTTCACTGCCCATACAATCTTAGATTCCAAATTATGCCTAACTCCTGTCCCCTGGCTTTTTTCTTTTGGCTTTTGATGTTGTTGTTGTTGTTTATATTATTTGTTCTAATTAGTTACACATCATAATAGAATATATTTTGACATACATATATGGAGTATAATTTCTTATTCTTCTGGTTGTACATGATGTGTAACTAATGAGATGGACTGCCATTTGATGGACTGTCTTTTCATTCTCTTAATAGTGTCCTTTGATGCATAAAAGCTTTTAATTTTGATGAACTCTTGTTTATCTATTTATTTTCTTCTGGTGCCCATTACAAAGCTGTGGTAATCAGAACAGTGTGTTATAGATCAAAGATACATTTAAAGACCACTGGTATAGAATAGGAAACCCAGAAGTAAACCATCACATATATAGTCAAATGATTTTTGATAAGGATGCCAAGATCATCCAATGGGATTGGCGTCATATCTCAGAAATAACTGCCTAATCCCATGTTACGAAGCTTTCCCCTAATGTTTCCTACTAATACTTTCAAAGTTTTAGACCTTATATTTAGATCTTTGGTCCATTTTGTATCCATTTATGTATAAATAGTGTTAGTAAAGGGTCTAATTTAATTCTTTTTCATATGAATATCTACTTTTCACTTCATCCTGTGGTAAAAAATCAAATCCACACAAACAAAAATCTGTCCTTTCCAATTGAATGGTCTTGGCACCTTTATCAAAAAATCTGGGTTCCCGTTCTATCCCTATTCTTTAAGTGTGTCTTTGTTCCTGTTCTGATTCCATAACTGTGTAATATATTTTGAAATCAGGAGCTGTGAGATCTCCAACTTTGTTCTTTGTCAGTATTGTTTGGCCATTGATTCTCATTGTCTTATGTTTAGATTTTTGTTTAAGAATTCAAATTGATTACCTACAAAACAATTTTGAAAGGATTAGTCAAGGAATACTTCTAGTAAAATAAAAAAATAAGAGAAACAGGAGATAAAAATTATCCATGATCAATTAGCAAACCTTAAAACACAATGGCATGTTACATTTATTAGTAATATAATCATGAAACTTGAAACAATTGTTAAGAACACAGAAACATGAAAAGTAAAAATAATTTGGAATTAATAATTAAATGATTTTGACAAAATATAGCCGTAGCGTAGAAAGAGAAAGGGTTTTAGTTTTAACAAAGATTCTCCATGGATTACAATGCCAGAGTTTCTCCAAGAAGTTCAGAAGTGAGGATTGAGTTCCTGAGCCCCTGTGGAAGGAATAGTCTACTTCTCCTGGAATGTCAGCTTCTCAGGGTTCTGACCCAAAGCTACTTCTCTTAAGTCTGCAGAAAGAAGACTTTTTAAAATGATACCAGTATTCATTTAAAAATTAAAGTATGGAATGGTGTGTTGAGAGTGGAATTCACCATCCACACCATTTCTCATGGCACATTAGATACTTAAATTATTTTTGAGACATTCATATTTTTAATTTTTAGTGTAAAAAATATTGTCTGGACATTGAAATTTTAAATTCTCACTTTTTGTGCCTCCTGAACATTCTCTAATCTCCTCTTTTCCAGAGCTCTCGGGCTGTGCTCTCATGCCTTCCACTGCAGCAACAATGGACCACTTTCAGCAGGGATGGTGCAGAGCTGACCCGAATGCCTGACTGCCACTGACCTCCAGAGAATCCAGGTGTCTGAAAAGTAAGTCCCTGGCTCATGGGGTCCTGGTGAGAGTGCAAGAGAGGTGGGTGCAGTAGATGTCTATAACAGAGCTTGTAGAGGTTCTGAGAGATCACCAGAAATCATGTCTAAACCCCAGTATAGTGAACCCACTAAAGTCCACTGACAAAGAATTCAGAGATGTAGTCACACTGCATTAGAATTTGAATTTAGAATAATAAACATTCTAAAAAAGAATGTAACTATAGTGATTGGCAAGTGACTTGATTTATACCAGTGAAAAATTTACTTTATAATTCTCTATTACCATCTGTTATAACTATGATTGATTTTAAAGTATTATAACAATAATATAAGCAAAAGGAAAACACTCTCATTATCTAAACACACTTAATTATTTTCATTTTTAATATTTCCTTTTAGTGCTTGTCCAAAAATATGATTTTTATCTACTTCATATGCTAACACACTTATCCTTTGCCTTATGTCCCTTGTAGCAAACACTTTCACTTACTTTTTTACATCCTTTTTTATTATGAAAAACTTCAAATCTATGGAAAAGTTGAATAAATAGAATGAAAACTCATATATTCTTTTTAAGGATATTTAAAATTTTTATTGTTCACTTAATCAAATATAATATTGTGTTTTATTGTGGCATATTCATACATGAACATACTTGGATCAGTTTTATTACCTAGTACCTCCCTTTGCCCTCCCTTGGTCCCTTTCCTCTATCCTAATAGTATCCCTTCTATTTTTATGAGATCCCCCTTCTTTCCCTTTCTTTTTCTGTCTAGCTTCTACATATGAGAGAAATCATATGGTACTTGTCTGAACTGGCTTATTTCGCTTAACATAACACTTTCTAGAACCATCCATTTTCCTAAATATGACATACTTTCATTCCTTTTTATGGTTTAATAAAACTCTATTATGTATATATACCACATTTTCTTTAACTCTTCATGTATTCATGGACAATGAGTCTGGTTCCATAATTTGGCTAGGGTCAGTTGTGCTCATATAAAGATGGGAATACATGAATCTCTAAAGAATTTTGTTATTAATTCTTTTTGATGGATACTGAGCAATGGTTTAGCAGAATCATATGATTGTTCCACTTTTAATTTTTTTACAGCCTCTATACTGATTCCCATAAATCCTGTACTAATTTATATAATTAAGGGTCCCCTTTTCTGCATCCTTGCTCTCATTTTTTATTTATATTATTGATGATTATTATTCTGACTGAAATGAGATGGATTCATAGTTTTGTTTTTTTAAATGGGATTCTTTAAATATTGTTTCAGTTGTAGTTGGACACAATACCTTTATTTTATTTATTTATTTTTATGTGGTGCTGAGGATCGAACCCAGCACCTTGCACATGCTAGGCAAGCACTCTACCACTGAGCCACAACTCCAGCCCCCTCAGTTTAGTTTTGATTTGCATTTCCTTGATGGCTAAAGATGTTGACATTTTATCATATATTCGTTGGCCATTTGTACCTCTTTATTTTTTTTAGTAAAACTCATGTTTTTACTCAGATTTATCATTTACTTACACCCATATAAACACAGGGGGTTTTCAGTTTATACTTGTGAGTATGTATTTGTGTATTCAATTTTTGGCTCGAAACATTTGAACATAAACCACATGCATCATGGCATTCTTTGGCTTGGATCTAAGAATATAGCCATTTTCTACAAAACCCGAGTATTATTACCACTGTGGAACTTAAACTGATAAAGTAAAATTATCCAATATATTATTCCTGTTGAGGTACTCTGGGTTGCCCCCAAAATATTCATCATGACTCTTCTGTCTAGCATTTAGTGTCATGCACTGGATTTCATTATATCTTTCTAAACCAAAACCCTGCTTTTGTTTGTAATTTTATGATGATTATATTTTCCTTTTTGCTTAAAATAGAACCCAGGGCCATGATCATGCTAGGCAAGTATTTTATATCCCAGATTCCAATATATATTATTGAGGAGCAATTTTATGTTGTGGGTATGTATACATGTGTATGTGTGTGTTAAGGGGGTGCTCAGGGATGGAACCTATGGTCTCCCATATGCTAGGCAAGGGATCTACCACTGATCTCCACCCACAGCCCCAACATATTGACACTTTTGAAGAATCTAAGCTAATTTTTTTAAATAGAAAGTCTCACAAAATTGATTTGTCTGATAGTTTTCTCCTACTTAGATTTAGATAAATATTCTTTCTCTTTCTCCTCACATCATATCAGTCATTGAGCCCTGATCATCCCTGAAGGCACATTGTTTTTCAAGGATACATGAACATAGGAAGCTTTTAAATAATCAGCTTTCAAATTAAGACCATTTTCTATTGGAATCATTGTTCAGCACTTTGCTGAATTCCCTCTATACAATATGGGCATTCCTAGAGCATACAAAAGCTCAATTCTTGACAAAATCATCTGTTAGCATGTGCCAAAGCTTTATTTCATTTATTCATTAATAAGGGAACCAACAAGAAGTCAAATGGTTTGACTCTAAGAGCAGTTATATAACAGAGATTTATAGTTAGTTGGAAAAGAGATATAGAAATAAGATGCTACGTTAAGCTAATTCTAAGAGCAAGAAAAAATACCATATTTGGGGTTAACTTTGTTATTAGATGGTAAATATCATAGTAAATTGATAATTTCTGTAGGCTGACTTCTAACTTTACAGGATGATAAACTCTGCATTTTATCTACTGTGAATTATTAGGTAAATGTTTTATATGTTTCTCAAGAGCTTCAGAATAGGGTCAAGCAAGCTTAGTTGTGTTCCATCAGGATATAATTTAAGAAATCACTGGTTTTCCCTTTTTCTAATTTGAAATGAATTTTTCTATGAGAATTAGGTAAAAGAATGTGACTGCTAAATTGTGAGTGATTGTGTAATAAGTCTTAAGATTCCACTTTCCTCAGGCTCATCCCACAATGAACTTGAGCCCTGGTGTAGATATTGAAAGGGCACCTCTGGCACGCAGCTACTGACATGCCTCCCAAACATTACTGCTTCCTGACAACCCATCATGTATAGCCCCTGCCCTTGCATGTGGGCTGTTCTTAGTGACTTGCTCCTGATGAACAGAAACATATGTGATGGGCTGATGACAGATCGGTTCAGAAAGATCTGTCCAAGATCAGGTCACCAAGATTTCGACTTCCATCTTGGTCATGCTCTCTCCGACTCTTCTCATATTGTCAGTCAAATAAAGCAAGCAGTTATTTATGGTCTCCTCCATGATAACACCACATTACAAAGAACTGAAGTTCTTAATTCAACAACCCTCAAAAACAATCCTGCCAAGTTCATTCCTCAGTTGACCTTCAGATGGGATGCAGCCCCCTCCCCCTGGCCCCCACCAACATTTTGATTACAGCCTTGTGAGAGACTCTGAACGACACCTGGCTAAGCTGTACTCTTGATATTTGCCCTCAGAAAACGAGATTGTAAATGTATATTGTTTTAAGTTTCTAAATTTGAGGGTAATTGATTCAACATCAATAGAAAGCTCACATCGCATTCATGAGATTTATGCTATTGATTGTACTTGGATGTGTGCATCTCAGTACAGCGCTCATTCATCTTTTTCTCTGCTTCTTCAATCTTCCTTCCTCTTTCTTCCTTCCTCCTCCATTCTTAGTTACTTGGTTCTTGTTCCCTTTGCGTTCGTCGTCTTTGCAGATCTGGTCACATCCTTGGTTATTGATTAGAGAGGTTGAAATCAGAGGCAGCTTATTTGTAGAGACCATGAGCAGTTCAGAAAGAAATAGTCCATTCTTGGTCAACAGCAAGAGACTTTTTTTTTCTTTGTGGAAATCAGTTGCTTCAAACTTGCTGAAGCTATGTCCTCCCGGGCAGCAATGCTTCTTATTTGTCTTGAGCCAGTTCCCACTGATTGAATGGAATTGGTTTTCCCATTCTTTCCTCAACAGTGTGTAGACAAATACACTTTCTACTTAAAAATGCAGTTTCTTTCTTGGATTTTCTATTCATAAGTTTCAGTACAGAAACAACATTTTAAGAAGTCTGAGTTCTTTTGATATGATATAAAATTTACCAAAAATAAATCTTCTGAAGGAATAGAACTCCAGAGGGTTTTTGTTAGGTTTCCAAGTTTATTGTCTTAAGAACATATTTTCAAATAAATCCACAGATAATTACATCAGTGGCCCTGCCTGAACCTTTTGTCCATGCTCACCACCAGGCACTGTGCTGAGGGATCCCCACCTCAAGCACCACACCATGTTTCTTGCCATGTGTTAGCCCAGTGAGATCAGCAAGTGGAGCCTGCTTCCCTTCATTGTTTATGGACTCCCCCTTCTTTCATCCAGGGGGTTCATCATGTCCTGACGTCTCTGACCCTCCTCAAGTCATTTATAATGAGCCAGCAAATAAGAGATAAGAGAAGCAGGGCATGGTAGTGCACACCAGTAGTCCCAGTGACTTAGGAGGCTGAGATAGGAGGATCACAAGTTCAAGACCAGCCTAGGCAACTTAGTTAGGCCCTAAGCATTTTAGCAAGACCTTGTCTCAAAGTAAAAAATACCAGAATCTGGGGATATGGCTCAGTAATTGAGTATTCCTTGGTTCAATCCTAGTACCAGAACTAAATAAATAGATAGATAGATAGATAGATAGATAGATAGATAGATAGATAGATAGATAGATAGATAGAGGGTGGCGGGGAGTAAGGGAGGGAGGGAGAGAGAGAGAGAGTGAGATCAGAGAGAAGTTGGGATGCAGGGGTAAGTTCAGGGCCAGACCTCCAAATGGCCCAAATTACTTCTACATCACCTTCTGCTGACCAAGAACTTAGCCACATGGCCACAGCCAACTGCACAAGAGACCAGGAAGTATAATCTAGAAATGTAAAAGAAAGGGCTATGAACCACATCAGGTGAGGTCTTCAGTGGGCTTTCTGATCTCCAGGTTGTAAACATGATCAACTATACTTTTCTCTTCTGACACACTTATAGTTTTACTTCTTA